ACTATTCTTTCTTACCTCATGTATCTGTTTATTATCTCTGTATTGAATCGCCTTTTACTCTCTTCTCTTGCTTTGTGTGCTAAGCGTAGTGTGTGGCAACTCGAACTGCTGCACATTGGTGCAAAGTTCCACACTGAAACCAGCCAGTCAGCTTTAATCACAGAGGCTTTTTGTATACATGGAAAGATGTATAGTATGAACCAAACAATATAGCCTTAAACCCTCTCCACCGACCAACCTATCATTGATCAAGACGGTACACTATACGTATAATCACCATGACAGTCACACATTCATTAGTTTCATATAAGCGTGAATCTAAATTTAAAAATATTTACAGCAGTTCGAGGTATGGTTTAGGGTTCACAATGAATAATATTTCTGAGTTCCATCATGAACTGACATCAGCTAGATGACCTTTAGAAAACCTGGAAGCACTGAACAGCTGCTTCGTCCTAGTTTGGGATTCTTCAACGGTACTCATCCACTTCAGCAGGGTTCGAACCAGGACCTTGTGGTTATTAGCCATTTAGCCTGATCCAGTGTTCCATGAATTTCAAATTCTGCCGGTTCACAGGTGCATACTGTGAAGAGTCCCAAATTAGCGTGAAACAGCTCTGTCTAGTACTTCCAGTTGGTTTTACAATAGTTCTCTAACCGATGCTAGCTCATAATGAAATCCTGAAACCATTGAAATCCGTGTAAGCCAACACTTGAATTAATAATGTCTAAATAGCTTGTGATTGCATAAGGAGGGTTAGTGAAATCTGGTTTAACCAAAGTGCGTCATATATCTGAATGTATGTCTCATAAATGCAATAAGATAATGTTACTTTTGAATACTATGATCACTGGTTTATGACTAGAATTATTATTTCCTTAAATTCCTAGAGGAACATACGGCTTCATCCGCGCGTCGCCGTCGGGTTTGGTTCTCTGACAACGTTGTCACCAGGTTCCAAATCTGCCCACATGTTTTCACCTCCTCTTCACATGACCTCTTCTATGTCACCCTCGCACTGACCACCAAATCGCCGCTTCCTGGTCGGATTCCACTCGAGCGATGGCCTGGCGTGTGATGTCACTCACCTGGTGGTTTTCTCAGGGTATGGTCAATCCACCTCCATTTCTTCCTGCATATTTGTCGTACAATCGGTTCCTGGTTGGTTGGTTCTCTCATTGACAGAGATCCCTGTTGCTGATCGTTTTTGGCCACTTGATCTTGAGTAGCATTGAGCGAACACAGCAGTTGATGAAAGTCTGTAGTTTGTTCGATGTGCCTTTCATGATGTGGCCCTCTGATCCGTATAGTGAGTAGCACTGGCTCTACATTGGATGTGAAAATCTGGATCTTATTTTTCATGCTGATTTCTGTTGATCTCCACACAAACTTGAGCGTAATGAAAGCTTTCCTTGCTTTCCTCCTTGCTTCGATATCCTTCAAGCACTCTGTTCACTTTTCGCTTAGCTACCGATATGCTAGCTAATATGTTGTTGTCAAAATTAACTAATCGAGACTACCCATAATCTATGTTGAATTTTGTTTATTGTTAATGTACAAACTGTAAGGTGAGATGCTGATAATTCCATTCTGTATCACAAGTACTGTTCTGGAATAAAACAAATTATTTTTATTATGTGCTTCTCTATAAAATTGACGTTGGGCATATATTTCTGCGATAAGTTCTATCCGGCGATTTTATTTGCAACTGCTGTTCTGTGGTCCTAACCTGCAAACACCGATAGGTCCTCCCAATGTATTTGTGTCTACATATACATGTAAATTGGTAAATCCATTAGGATGTTCCACTGTCATTCGGATGCCATGAGGATTTTCAGGACAGCATACATCTCGTTTTGTCTATAAATATAAATTTGGCTGCATGGTAAATTTCTATCATTTGCATCCTTGAGTCTTTGTTTAGGGATCAGACTTCACTGATGACCCCTGTACTGCAAGATTATATGAACATCCTTTTCGAGAGTTCACATATAGACATCCATTATCATCTATAGCGAAGCACATCATAGACATGGGTCACACGGCTGAATTTTAGTAATACCTTTAAATCCATACAAAAAGAACAAGGTTAAGTCACATACCTTTCTATGAAATTCTCTCACCTTTCTCATCTTTCATCTCGATAACGAACTACAATACTATTAATCAATATTTTTGTGCGTCGGTGGCACAGTGGTTAGGACGCTCGCTGACCATGCACATGGTCCGAGATTCAATCTTCTGCCGACGCACACCTGATATCTATGATCGTCCTGCAAAATTTGAGCTACCGATATCCATGCTGAAAATTCCATACTTGTACCAAAAATACAGTGTGGAATCAAGTCGTAAATCAAAAATAAAAAATTATATGTATATATATAAGGCAGAAATATCCTGTCTGTTTTTCTAGATTTATTGGCACAACATATGACTTTTCAGCAGGTAATTTCTGAAAGACGCTGGGTCTTTGTGTCAACTATAGTCACGAATGTATCTACGAGTTATGAACAGATAAAACACTTGAAACAATGCTATATCACACACACACACTAAGAAACGTTAAAATGCCATTATGGATAAGATTTTATTTTCATAATGTCGCACAGTGGTGTTATACAGTAAGTACTATTAACTGATACGACAACGTTTCGAGCACAAACTATTGACACTCATAATCACATCAAGTCACTCACTCACTCACACAACTCTCTTGCTGCATTGATATACATGAGTGAAATTGACGATTAGACATTTGGATGAAAATCAATATGGGATAATGTACATTCAGAAATAATAATATGAGTGTTATTGATCAAAATACAGTCAGATGGGAAATAAGACGAGTGATTTTATAATTATAATGAGTATTTTGTCGGAATGTTATGATGTGCTTGAATTGAATTGAAATAGAATTTTGAGATTATTTATTATCCTCTTCTGATTTGACTGACTGACTGGAGGTAATAATATCTTCCATATTTCTGGTATTTCCATTGACTCGTTTCTGTTGCATGTGTTGTGTTGGGTGTAGATTCGATGAACCAGACAGGATTCAGTAATCAATCTCTCTCTCCACTTGCATGGATTACTTCTTAGAATCTTAACCCTCTCCCACCCACCATATTGTGTGATTGTGCGTTAATGCATGCATGCAGTGCAATGTAGTGCTAAACTTTTTCCTAAATTACTTATCCTCTCAGGGTAAACCATTTTTCCCTTAGCTAAATTCTTATGTACTGACAATCTGATTACCCCGGGTCTACTAGTTTGACCTATGTAGTTGACCTCGCTCGCAGTCATTGTAAGGTATTTTATAAATTATATTATTTTGTCCACCGGTTTTCAGCTTGTCCAACCTGAGTGAGTTTGTAGGTTTGAATGCCACTCTAATTCCTGTTTTATTGAGAATCATACGTAGGGTCTCATATGCCCCTCTCTATAGGGTATAGCAGTGGATGACTTATATTCTCTCTTATTTATGTTGTCACTACTAGTTTCACAATTATTTTTGATTTGCTTTTGGCCTTTTTCGATCTTCTTAATGAATTTCATAGGATAGTTAGTTATTTAACACCAACTCCTCTTCTCTCTGTTTTATTTCATCATTTAGGTCTTTTCCTGTGCTACTTAGTGCTACTGCTCAGTTTGTTAAACACTTGACTGAGCCTTGACTGACTTCACAGATAACGAACAGATGAGATGAATTAAAGGAGTCTAACCACCTATTAGCAGAATGCGTTAGTTTTCTATAAACACTAGTGTGTAGTTTACCTTCTTCTATTCGTTTGATTTTACAATCTAACATCACAGGTAATTCTCCTTGTTCATTTTCCGATTCAAATGTGAATCTTATTCTCTCTACTATAAAAACACTCATCTTATTTCCCATCTGACTGCATTTTGGTCAGTAACACTCATATTATTATTTCTGAGTGTACATTATCCCATATTAATTTTCATCCAAATGTCTAATCGTCAATTTCACTCATGTATATCAATGCAGCAAGAGAGTTGTGTGAGTGAGTGAGTGAGTGACTTGATATGATTATGAGTGTCAATAGTTTGTGCTCGAAACGTTGTCGTATCAGTTAATAGTACTTACTGTATAACACCACTGTGCGACACTTTATGAAAATAAAATCTTATTCATAATGGAGTTATACTCTATCACCACAATGCCCAAGTTTTATATACTTATATCAATAAGCTGGCCAACAGCAACAACAACAGACAACAATCAGCCAGCATAAATGGGAGGAACCGGAAAGAAACAAACTCTTTCACCTACCTCACCTGGGTAGCACTGCTTCAACTACAGTCGGAACTGACGAGGATATCAAAGCCAGAATCGGAAAAGCAAGACAAGCTTTCATTAATCTCAAGTCTGTGTGGAGGTCAACCCTCAGCACTCAACATCAAAAATAAGATCCGGATTTTCAACTCCAATGTGACATCAGTGCTTCTATACGGATCAGAGACTTGACCAGCGCGTCATAAAGAGCATCTCCAACAAACTATAGACCTTCATTAACAATTGTCTTTGCTCAATACTCAAGATCAGATGGCCGGCCAGAAAAGATCACCTACAGGTAGAGATCTCTGGGAGCGAACCAATCAGGAACCGATTGTGAAACAAATAGGCAGGAAGAAGTGGAGATGGATTGGCTGGCCATACTCTGAGGAAACCATCAAGTGACACCACTAGACAAGCAGTCGCTCGAGTGGAACCCGAAAGGGAAGCGGCGAGTTGGTCGTCAGTGCAAAGGGACTTGGAGGAGGTCATGTGAAGAGGAGACGAAAGCGTGCGGGCAGACTTGGAGCGGGGTGAAAACATTGGCAGAAAACTGAAGGCAATGGAGACGTTTGACTGAATCCCTATGTTCCTCTAGGAATTCAAGGAAATCATAATAATAATAGTAATCGATAATCATTAAAATCCACTACTGTCTATAAATCATTCTCATAAAATTTATAACAAACAATTTGTAAAAATTACCATTTTTTGTCTTTGTTCAAAAAATATTCCAGTTTATTGTGAAGAAATTCTATTGTTGAAGCATGAAAAGACGTGAAAGCATCATGATTTATTTAATCAAGCGATATAAATGCATATTCTCATGTAATTTGTTCTGATATATATATATTCCATATTTCTAATGTTGATTCAAACTGCGTTTTAAGCGTTTGTCATATCTATTTTAGGTTGATACATATATATAAACGTATATACGTTAAATGATAGGCTACTGTGTCTTGTCGATCATCTCTTAGCGTCTATTGACGTTTTAACTCAAGAATAGATTTTTCATTTGCTTGAAGCAGACATATGTGCAAACAATCAGAGGCCTAATTACACCCACGCACGTAAAATTATATATATATATATATATATATATATATATATATAATTATATATATATATATATAATGATTTACTTTATTCCAAAAACAGTACTTGTGATACAGAATGGAATTTTCAGCATTAATCACTATATCGCATCTAATTTCCTCAAATTATAAATAAAAATTAATCACACAGAAAATCTTCCACATTTACAATAGAGGTAATGTCAAAAACATGCAGCATATAAAATGGAAATAGCAATAATAATGATAACAGCTAGGGTAATAATAATAATAATACAAGTGAAAATTACCGTGGGCTTGTTTCACACAGTATTGTCGTTATGTGCGGTATAGAAATCCTAACATGTTTAAAAATATTGAATATAATGTTCTCTTTACATGATATGGTGAGGGGAAAAACAAAGATTACAGTAGGCATAGAGATAAGTTGGTGTTTGCAATTATGAGAGTAAAACAAACAAAGAAGCAACAGGACCATAAATATAATAGAAATAATAAAAGTAAAACTTGAAGGTATATAAGGATGGATGGATGGAGGAAATTGTTTATTTACTAGATGAAAAAAGGTTAGTTAATTCTTGCCTGACACTATTTTCACTATCACATAAAATACGTGCCAAGTATGGTATCATAGAATTTTTATACTTAGACGTGCGAGAATACAGTTTTCTGAAGTTACTTCTTATTCTACCTGAGAAGGCGATGCAAGGTGAAAGCTGAGGGAGGGTAAAGTGGATGCTCCAAATCAGACAAAATCCCTTTAGCAAATTTATTGCACGAAGTCAAGTGCCTATCGACAATGATGTTAACTATGTGGTCCACTGGGACACCACTCACCCTACTGACAGTCTTCAGTATTCTACGAATTGTGACATGATCTTTTTTAAGCAAACCAGGAAAGAATAAGGGTGAACACTAAAGAAGAATAGGTAGGATGCAAGAGTTTATGAATTAACTGTAAGAGGAGGGGTTGAGTTATACCCGAGTGTCTTAACTTCTTAATGTAAAATTTCAGCGGAATATTTTACTGGAGATTGCTAAGACATGGGAAGACCAGGAGAGATCAGAAGAGAGAATAAGTCCAAGATACTTAATTTCTGATTTGATTCCTATATCATTGTCGTCAATTTTACTACTGTCATGAGAATCGATGACTTCTTTTAACTGTCTTTTACATCTTAAGCTGAAATTAACAGTTTGACATTTAGAAGGACTCAGTTTAAGACCGTTAGACTCAGACCATTTGCTGACTACCGACAGAAAGCTATTTATTTTGGTACAATCTAGCTGGGAGTGAACCGTTAAATCATCAGCATACTTCACAAAGTTTATTTCATCATCAGAGTGAGGCAAGTTATGTAAGAAGAAAGAAAAAAGAAAAGGAGAAAGGACAGCGCCCTTAGGGACACCAGTTTCAGTGGGCAATGAAGTGGAAGACTTCCCTTTATATACGGTGTACTACTTTCTTTCTGAGAAATAGGAATGTAACCAGTTAACAGCCCAACATTCTGTTTGACTAGCAACAAGTTTATTTAATAAGACGTCCCTAGAGATCGAGTCAAAAGCCCCCTTGTCTAGACTGGAAGCAATGTTATGATATAAGACGGCAGCTGCATCTAAAGTGCTTCTACTGTGCTTATAGTCAAATTGTTTAGGGCTGTTAAAGGACTTTAGCGTAGATACAAGACTAAGTAAAAGTAATTTCTCCATAATTTTCGAAAAAGGAGAGGTAATAGCAATGGGTCTAAATTTGACACATGCTCCAGTAGATAATTTGGGTATAGGTACAACTTTAATGTCCTTCCAAACGGCAGGTACAATATTACCAGAGAAGATTTGTTAAATAGATCAGTGAGAGGGTGACACAGAATATCAGAACATTTTCTAAAGATAATACTGGGTACATAATCTGGACCTAAGCTCTGGGATGGGTTTAGAGACTTAAGGCACTTTTGAAAAAAAAATAATAAAAATAAGTTGATATCAAGTGAAACAGAGGGTTACAGCATCTTTGTCTTAGCGATAATTTTCTTCACATGTAGCTGCTGGTTACGGGTATTCATCTTGTCCACATAGTCTGATTTGTCTAATACTACTACAGTATGTTGCATTTCTTTTGTTTTACTTTGTGATTAATTATATCCATGTTATTCTTAAGGTGTTTTAGGGCTTCTATCTCTGGTTTTATCACGTTGGGCTTTCCACGCTTTTGTCATTTTAATGTCAGTGCACATTGTGCTCGTACTTTGTTAGTCATTGTCTGGTCTATCTCACTTAGTGCTATCTCTATTTTAGGAGGGACATCCTCAGATTTCAACTTATCCACCATCTCCATACAAACAGGACCATATGAGGAAATTAATAAATCAATACACACCGGTATGGATAAGGTTAAGAAATCCACAGCGGAGCTTATACGCCTAATGAAGCCGTTTCTAGGTGAGTCTAAGCGCTTTAATTTAATGTCTAAAACTAATAACCTCAGACGGATGTATGGTGTTGTCAAAGTTCATAAATCACGATAACCTATTAGACAGATCTTTAGTTGATTTTAGAAATTCACCTAATTAGGAATTAACTAAATATTTAGCCATGGTATTAAATCCCCTAAAAATCCACTCGAAATCTAGACTAATAAATTCTTATGAAGTAAAACATAGATTAGATAATTTAAAATTAGATAATGAAAAGAAAATGGTTAGTTTTGACATTGTTAGTTTATATACACGCTATAGAAGCAGTCAGAAACGAACTCATTTCTGGCCAAGAACTCGAACTTAGGACAAAAGTGCTACTTGAGGAGATAATGCTGGGAGTGTAGCTATGCCTGACTTCGACAGTATTTAAATTCCTAGGGGAGATATACAAACAAACTGAGGGAGTTGCCATGGGGTCACTGATATCCCTGGTTATGGCAGATATATTCTTGGATAGGTGGGAAAATACAGCAATTGAAACGTTCAGCCTTAATCCAAAAGTATACTGGAGGTATGTAGATGACACTTTCACTGTACTCAGAACACAGGATCAAGAGAGATTTTTTCGAACACATTTACTCAAAGGTGGAGGCATTTCAATTCACTTATGCACTGGAAAATCAGGGAGAAGAGCTTCCAATGTTAGACTGCAGCGTAAAAACGAAAGAAGATGGGAAGTTAAACACTTACTATTGTGTTTACAGGAAACCCACACATTCAAACAGGTATTAGGACTTCCGAACATCCCACCCAATCTATGTCAGTGAAAATAGGATTGGTGAAATGTTTAAGTGACAGAGCACAAAAAATAAGTAGCACCAATGAAAATCTAAAACAGGAAGTGTTACACATAAAAGAAGCTTTCAAACTTAATAATTACCCTGATAAATCAGTGAGGAAATATGTAAGGAAATGTAAAAATGAAATAAATAATGATAGTAGCGATAGTGGTAATAATAATAATAATGACACCAATAATAAAGAATCTAAATCATCAGTAGTGATTCCACACAAGGAAGGAACCTCGGTAACCTTATGCAGAATTCTTAACAAGGCAGAAAGAAAGTTGGCTGGCATCCACACACCCAGAAACTCAATTAGAAACAAGCTTTGTAGGTTAAGAGATCGATCCTGTGAATCCTTTGAAACAAAACAATTTAGTTTATCTAATACCCTGCCTGCAGTGATTGTCAGATCAAATGCATAGGTCCAAGTAGTAAATCAGGGGCACTCAAACTAGCCGAACAAAAAACCCCCAGCAAAATCTAGAGTGATTGACCCAAATAAGATAAGAAATCTGAAGAATAGTTCAGCTATAGCACCACACGACATGCAGTTACACACAAAGATACAATAAGATGGGATAAGATGACAGTTTTAAAATATAATTCAAGAGCAGGGTGGAGGGAGAGATTGATTCCAACGGAAGCTTTGTTTATCGAATCAACTGCAAATACATGTGATAGGAGTGATTCAACACCTGTCCACCCGAACTTCTGGAAAACTGCATTAACCCTATGAAGGCAAATAGGACAGAAGACGAAAAACTATAAAACTCAAGTTTCGAAGTCATGTGATTATAATTGATGGAATGATTATGAACAATAAGTGAATGTGTTAGAAACTTTGTCATCCAGTAAACAGTAATACTGTTTCATCACTGTGTGATATATCCGGTAAACAAAGTTATATCCAAAATCACTTACTACTACACCGCCCAAGTTTTACACATACATTAATATTCAAGGAGTTATTGAATAGTTCGCAGAATAATTTGACTGTAATTTTGAATGTTAAACGCTTTGGATAGTATATTTCCCCTTCGTGTTTCCTGGTCTTCCCACATCATGTTAGCTTCTAGGATGATATTTCAGTCGACTGTATATGTAAGGAAGTTTAGACAATCTGAAATCAGTAAGTTTCCACCTTCTAAGTTTGTTAATTATTGTACTCTAACTATGCTTCTTTATTGCTCCCTCTTAAATTTTTCGGAATTATTTAAAAACGACATTGTTACCTTGAAAAAGACACTAAAAGCTGGTGGCAGAGTGAGTGAGGTATCACTAAACCAAATTCTTAATACTTCTGTAAGCGGACAAATGCAAACATGCAAGAAATTAACAAATATTCTATTGAATAAGACATTTAGAAGACA